CTCCTTATAACCAGTGTCCGCCTTTATCTTTTTCTGTTTTACTTTTCTCCCAGCTTCTCTCTGCTCTTCCCAACTTTTCCCTCTCCCCAGTTTTCTCCTTTCCTGATTTCTGAGCCCTCCTAATGCAGTCTCGTAATTCCCATCGCCAATCGTCTTTTCATCCCTTCCTTAAAAACAAACAAAAAACCCAAAATACAAAACAAAAAATCTCCCAAGTCTTTGCTTTCACTTTGCTCTTTTTCGTACTTCCCTCAGTCTCCATTTTCCTTTTCTTCTCCTTCCCCCATCCCCCCGCCCCCTCCTTCTTCCTCCTTTCTCTTTATTTTCCTTTCTTCTCTCTCAGTCTTTCCTTCTCTCCTCTCTCCACTGCCTTGCGCTCAATGTCCCACCATGTCTTTCTTCTCTCTCAAGGTGATTTTTCTCCTCTCCCTCCCGCCCCTCCCCTTCTCAAACTTTCCTTGTTGTCGGGGAGATCCCTCATTCCCCTCAGGATCTTTCATCCCCTCGGTATCCCTTCTCTTTCTCGAAATCCTCCCTCCCCAAGTACTACCCCCGGTAGTTACTCCCGCTAGATATCTATGCCCCGGATAGCTCCCCCGACCTAGACATCTTCTTCCCTCCCTCCACGGTCGCCCTCTTTTCCCTCTAGGTCTCCGTGTCGCCCTCCAATAAGTTTCTGGAGCCCCCTGCCTTCGCCGCGGCCCCGGGACTGGCGGGGCCCGGGTCGGCCCCGGGAGCTGGTCAGCGAAGGTCCCCGCAGATCGGCGCCATTGGGTCGCGGACGGAGACCCAGGATTTACCATCGCGCGTGCGGCGAGACTCTGGGCTCAGACGGCGCTGCCGCTGCCCGGGATGTCAACAACGCTTTCAGCCGTTGCTAGGAGACAGGGGAGGAAGTGGCCTCCCGGAAGCGTGGGTGCCCGCGCCTGCGTGCGCGCGGCAGGCTCTTCCGCCCCGAACTGGCCTGACGCCTCCGGGCCGCCGTAGGCGGGGGCTGGGGC